GATTTAGACGTATGAGTGTGTTTTGGGGCAGAGCTGCAGAGGAGGAAAACAGAAAAAGCTGCGGCCTGGAAGCTTGTGCGCCCTGCACTTCTCCTCATTTTAACTCCGCAGTGGCCGCGCGACGTGTCCGGAGAGCACGCGCGCATTTAACTAACAGAACTTTAAGCAGATAAATTGGTCTGTAGTGAGCAGAAATGAAAATTAAAGGTGAAAAACAGCGAGGTAGAGAGAGAAAAAATGTCACCAACAGCTTGACCTTTGGTCTTGTGAGCTTCAAAATGGTTTAATTTACAGATAAAACCCACTCACACTGGGAGTCGCCTCATATTCAGCAAAAGGAGAAAATATACTTATTGGGAAAGAAAAATAGAAACAATGTAACATTTAAAAAGGCGTAAAATACAAGCTGTGGCTTGCAACTCAAACCTGCAACAAAAAAAAAAAGAGAGAAAAACGTTGGCCTAAAATTTACATCACATACGTTTAGTTTGTTTTGTTTTTTTAATTAAAAAAATCCAACTACTACAAGATAAAAAATTACAAGGTCTCTGAGGTGATTAAAAATAACTATTATAGACTTTGACTTAACAGATGTTAGTACGTCTAAGAAACGAGCATTGAAAGGTCTCTTTTAATTCATGCAAAAATTATGACAAATGTACATTCTAATTAGCAGTTTCTATAGTTCTTTAGAAAAAATAAATACAAACTTGTAACCATGTAGAGCCTCTAACTGAGGCAACGGCCTTTGATAGTACGCAAGTAATGAAAAATCCTCTTTTGAAACTGCAGTATGCTCTTTTAAATGTAAAAAATATATTTTTTAATACAAAACTATGTAAAAACAGATCTCCAACCACTTTTAATGGCTATGTTGTATTTTGGAATTATAGTTGCATTTCTTTTCTTTTTGGGGTGGGGGTCAAAATACCACCTTGTCACAGGTCGGAGTCAGCATGCACACATGCAGCCACAGACTTTTATTCGCCCTTATGCTTAAAGCATTTGTTTTAATTTCTAAGAAGAGGGCAGATCAAGCAGAATATATTCAACCGGGAGGTTGTGACCCTAAAAGGCCCCACCGACGTCTGCTGCTGAGGACGGACAGACCTTCCGACCAACCGCAAGTAAGAAAACTCCAAAGAAAAAAAGAAAAAAAAGAACTCCACTGCCTCACAACTCAAGGAGCAGCACTACAGCTGAGTTTGAGCTTCAAAACATTTGTCGATAAAAAAGCTATTTGCTGCAATCAGTCCCCCGGTTGTTAGGACGCCGAGCCCCTCTTTCCCCCTTTCGCCAAACCTCCGTTTTTATATAAAATAGATTTGGGAGAAGCGCCATTTTCTCTCCAAAACCATGCGCAATGAGACGCGCAAGAAAAGACCGTTGGAGTGCCATCAGAAAAGAAAAAAGGAGGAGAGAGCGCGAGAGAGAGGGAGAGAGGGAGGTTAAACACTATCGGGGGGTAAGAGAGCAAGAGCAGAGTTGAATATATAAAAAAAGGTCCTTAATACGCTGAGAGTGACAGGCAGCAGCGCAGTGCCGTAACCGCGTACGAGTGGAGCAAACCAGGGGCGCACGACACCGGAAAACAGCACCGAAAGAGGAGAGTTAAAGCCGTTCACGTTTTTTTTTTGTATCCATACCTGTGTCAGGCAGTAAGGAGAGTACATGGCGGATGTCTAGAGATGGAACTTGGAGTTGTTGATAGCAAAGTTGGATGGATGTTCGCTGCGGTGCCGCATTGCAAAGCCGCTGTGGCTCAGTCCAGGCTGTAACCCCGCCTCGCTCACAGTGAAAGCTCCGCACTAACTTTAGAGGAAAGTTTTTTTTCTCTGCCGCGTCCCTCCCTCCCTCCCTCGCTCCCTCTAACTCCCCCCCTCCCCTACGTGGCCCTCCCCCGTTCCTCTATCAGATTGAAACGATCCAAACTTTTAAAAGTGAAATGATCGTTCGTTTTTTCTTAAAGGGTGAGTGATTCGCTTAGTCTCTCAAAGAGAAAAGTTGTACCGGATACGTATTGTTGCAGTTCCCTGCAGGCTCACAGTGCGCCCGTAGTAGTCCATGAAGAGTTCAGTTGGCCCTCTGATATTTTTATCCCGTTAAATTTGAGTGGAATATCTATAATTTTTATAAAAGCTTTAAAAAAGTGTCTCTGTTTTTTTCTCTCTGGCGTTAACAAAATCACGTTGCTGCATTCAGGCAGTCTTTGAATTCTTTAATAAAAACCCTCCTCACATAATGAGCGGAGAGAAAACTTAAATAGTGAGAGATTTCCTAAAAAAGGGATTTTCTATGCAGCTTTCACACCCTTTGTTATGAAGAACACAGAGGCAATACCAGGAGCGACCAAAAAAAAAAAAGAAACAAAATAGTTTCTGAAGTTTACTGCATGTATCTTACACTGTTCCCACAAAGCTCTCTTCTTGCATAACGTCAAAGAGGCCCAGGGTAAATGATGGGGACCACTTATTTGTGTGGATCTTATTAAGCTGAGGAGTGAGGCCTAACTCAGGTCAGATTTCCAATAAGAATAATTTTTCTTGGTTTCAGTTTGAGCCGTCTACCTGTACCTTATAACCACAGCTATCAACAATATTCTCAATATTTCTAGAGGAGCTCCATGGAAGAGACCAAACATCCACCTTGGATGCCTCTTGTTTGTCTATTTCTCTCCTTTTTTATCTCATACCAAGTCATATTTCCAGCATTCTTGCATGTAACAGAGACAAAAGATACTTGAACTTGCATGGGCAAAAGTGGTCCAAACCAGCCCCATTGTGACTCCTATTGTATGGAAGCAATACATTCTGTTTCTAATCAGTCTCGGCTTTATCCTCGCCCGCTCCCTGCTCCTCAGTCTAATCAAACTCATATATGCAGGCAGAGTGCCTGCAATTATACATAAGCCCCTGCCTCATGCAAGTGTGTGTGTCTGTGAGAGTGTAAGTGAGAATGTGTGTGCAAGAGCGCTCAAAGTGTGTTATGTGTGCATGTGGGAGTAAGTGCGAATACATTTCTGCATGTGCATATGTCCGTGAGTGTGCTTAAGTTGTGTAAAAGGGTGCGGTTTTCGGGGGTTGAAATCACCCCGGTCCCTGAATGCCAAGTTTTTTTTGGGGGGGGGGATATGAAGTCGTGATGCTTTACGAGACCTCAGCCTGTGTATGATACTTACACACCAACACCACAGACACATGCGAGTACCGTACAGTACACAGGTTACACGTACACAGTCACACACGGTAACGACCAGAAAAAGATGAGAGTCAGGGGTGAAAAAAAAGAGAAATATGCTAAATAAATGTGAAAGAAAGCAAAGCGTTTTGAGGTGTAGCGTTCCCTTCCAAGAGTCTCTCCTCTTTCCAAACCACACCCCGCCACGGCACAGGCCCAAACCCAAAGCCTTTGTGTGTTCCCTCATTTTCCCTCTTTCTCCTTCTGTATAACCCCTTTTTTCTCTTTCTCGGTGGTTCTCTGTAGTGATGTTTTTTTTTTCTTTTTCTGTTTTAGAGTCTTTTTCTTCTCTCTCTTTTTCTGTCTTTGTGTCACACACAAATGCACATGCACAAATAACCCCTTCATTTCAGTCTTTTTTTTTTAAAGTTACTGGCTTCATTCAGCTTGGCATCAGGTGTCCATCACGGTATTCACCACAGGTGTTAGGATGTAAGAAACCAACAATCACAGTCATGTGATTTTGCAAAAATCCTGATTCTGGTCTTCTTTCTAAGTCATCTCTGTCTAAGATCAAACAATGAGTCCTGTCTGAACATTACTTATGGAAGTGCTTCGAGCGCAATGGGATCTGGTGGTTTTTGAGACCACGTTTGTCATTAAATAGCACATGAGAAAACCATATGGTGCGTCTAAAGTTAGCATGTTGCGGTTTCCCATTGACACGCGGTACTGCCCATATACTTGCTATTTACCATTGCCTGTGGCTAGGCCATTAAATATTGAAAGTGATGTGGCATACTGATACTGCCATTAGCATGCTAAATGTGTGAGACAGGTGGTTGAGGCTGCCTTTTTCAAAAGCCAGGAAACATGCGAGTGGAAAAATGTGCGCAACCGTGCCGTTCACTTCGCCGTACAGTGTAAATATTGTTTGAGTAAGCTGTTTATATGTGCTCTGGGAAGGAGCACGCTAGTCAAATCCATACAGGCATATGCAGTCAGAAAAGAAATGGCTGACTGGCCGCTGTGGCTTACAAACCCATCATACACAGCACGGATTCCAGAGACTCTATGGATCTGTTTTCAATCTGAGTGTGTGTTCAGAGCAATGTGTAACGCCTGCTGCTTTTTATGTGTTTACTGTGTTTAATAGCTGGTCATACATTACACTCAGACTGGTTTGGATTACTGCTTTTTTTTTTTTTACCATGTTTGCATTCAGCAGGGGGAAAAAAAATGTATGGATTTATTTTGCTAGTCTGATGTCATCACACCTTAATTTGAGCAGAAAGCGCTACATGTCAGGTTGCAGCACACAGTCCAAAGCAGCAGTTTTCCAGGCGGAGAGGCTCTTACATGTAAACTCAATCTCACAATGTTTTTTTTTTTAAATATAGAAAAGACTACATATGTTCCACATCACATAAGTCTTCAATTTTAACCGGGATCTAAATGTCGTCCTTGTGTGTCCTCGGACATGTTCACTTAAAGGTGGCATTTCCAGGAAATACGGATACTTTTTCAGGGTACTGTTGCCACACGTGCACACGTTCAACTACATCTAGAGTGAGCATTCAAGCCAACAATAAGTGAACCCAATATGTGGGTTTTACTTATGACTTTATCAAATTACATATACTTTTTTTGGGCAAAAGGTGACAGTACAGTCTTTATCGGCTAACTAAATTTGACAAAATTCAGAGCTGACTATTTTTATGCTCACACTGTCTTTGTCAAATAATTTTGTACAGAATATCCCCGAAAAGAAAACAAAAATTAATTCATAGTGGGTGTGTCTGTGTGTTTGGAGGTGTGTATACCCTGTATGTGTCGGACACGAGGAAACATTCGGGCATCCCTGGGCCTCTAGTAGGATCGTCATTCACCAGGTAGGTGTCAGTAGCCTGAAAGATAGAGAGACAGTTATATACAAAATTGTTTTTCCATATTATTTCTTTAATCATTCCTGAATTTAATTTTAGAAGAGTGGCTCCACAGACTGTAGAGTTTTACCTTTACTTGTACACTTGCAAGTGAATTGCAATAGCCTTTGGACCCAAAGTGTTTATTAGATATTTTCAAGGTTGTTATTTACAGTCTATATATAAGTAATAGCAGGTAATTTGTATGTACATTCAAAATACTGGATAATCAATTCAGATTGAACGTTTCCTTTTTGTCAGATGGTGGTGAAATATTTTTGTCTTGAAATAACAATGACATAATGTTTTCATTTCACTACAAAAGCTCTCGAGATCCATAAACACACAGTCCTAGTGGCAATGTGTCTGCATGTATATATGTGTGTAGGTGTGCATTCATTGGAGCTTCATTTTTATTCTAAGTCAAGCAGACAGGCGGGCAGGCAGGGTTCTGGCAGGACCCGGAGCTGTGAAACAGGCTCTTCTTGCAGTTCTGCTGTTGATTGGATCAACCCATCTCACACTACTTAGCCAAAAGGAGCCCAAATCCCACAGCCACTGTGGCGTTCTGTGAAATCCTATTTCATTTCACAACTTTAACGGATAAAAAAGCATGGAACACACGCTTGTGCCAGCCCCGAGACCCCTTGCCACATTCATTTAGCGAATGGGGAGCAGAGCGAACAACAGTATATCTGGTTGTGTTGAAATGTTCAAATGCGCACACCTATACTCTCGCCCTCTGAAAAATATAATCGCCCGTGTCCATTTTTTTTCCGCAAGCATGTGCCCTATACCTTACATGCAAACACACGCAGGCCAGGCACACACCAGCGCACACGTGCATGCCACTTACGCAGACACACAGACACAAACCCCATAATAAGAGCCAGACGTTGGCAGACCACACAGCCCTGAGTTGTGGTGAAAACAAAGGCTATTCATATCCTTCGCAATGAGAGGTCTGTACAGCTCACTCTCTGTCTCCCCCTCTCCCATGTCCCCCCCCCCTACCCCCGGGCTTTTTATTACAGATAATCTGCACTCGCAAACCTCCCATTTTTCTGCAATTGTGCGATTTCTAATCATCTTTATTAGTCCATAAACATGTTTTTTTTAGTCTCCCTTTTATTGCAGAGGCCCTCGGCTTGTTAAGGGGGCAACACAGTGCCTATTGTTGAGGCTCAAGAAGAGGGTGAAGCCAGGAACAGTGTGAGAGAGGCCTGCTGATAAGGCAGCAAAGCATTGTGGGAGCCGGGGTAGCGGAGTTTCTCTCGTCTGCGCACATACATGCAAATATACTGGCGAAACGTGCACACGCAGGACTAAATGCAAGCACCCCGAGTCTGCCAAGCCACATGTGTCTGCTAATGAAACAATGTATCTGATTGGCTGGTGGTCAGAGTAGTGGCTTGGATCCACAGCACCTGTGCAGGGTCTGCACCAACCTGAGCGTGCCGATAACCAGCAGACCACAATGCATCAGGTGTGCTGGAACCTCTGTGATTGGCCGGCCCCGGCCAGAAACAAGGGTCCGACGCAGGCACAAGGCTCTTCCCCGATTGGTTGAGCCAAGCCCAAAAAGCTGAGAGGGGGGGGAAAGGGATTGTTTTCGCTGGCTTGCAACTGCCTCATTCTGTCAGTGAATGGATGTCTGGCTGGATGACACCGGGACAACTGCATTGAAGGAAATATACTGAGAATTTGATTCAATTTGTTTAGCACATGTAAGCCTTCGCGTGCACAAAAATCTCATCCATACCTATCCCCTAACTCCGTGGGAATGAGATAAAACTTAACAAAAAATGATTTGCTCCCATTTCATATTAACCACCTGACAAAGAGGAATTTAAAGGCCCTATTTATGTTGTCAGCCAAAGAAACAAGTGCTGATGAACTGCAATCCCATTGTGCAACAGTGAATAACATGAAGCTAATGAATAGGCTAAGCTCTGTACCTGCCACTGGGGAGGCCAGAACATACTGACTCCCTTTGTAGTAAACCCCTAAAAAAAAACTCCAAGCCCCCAAACGCTCTCTCCTGCAGCAGTGTATGAATTATATATTGTACTATATATATAGAGCATATGCCCGGCCCATATGGCCAGCCCAGAGCGAAAAAATCTCAAAGCCCTCCTTAATTAACATTTTAGAAGGAAGATTTGGAGGCGGGAGATTGAGTCAGTGACCTATTTGGAGTCCATCATCGCCCAATGCAAATGTGTTAATTGAGACAGATTTTTCTACTTCACAAATATGGGAGAGGATGCTGTGGAGGATTTTTTTTCGTCTTTTTTTTTTGTCTGAGCCATCTGATCTAAGGTAGGGTCTAGAATCTGCTTTAAGCTGCTTCTCTGACAAAAGAAGACACTTCTCTTTCACATTTTCCCCCCCTTCAATCTCACTCAGTCCTTCTTGGCCCGCTTTCTAACTGTCTCTTTTTCATTCTAAGGTATATGTTTTGACGACCATATGGCCAAATTTCTTTGGAGGTGAGATCTCCAAAACCTGCTAACACACTTCTTTACACGCACACAGACACACATCCCCTCAGATCTTTGAGTATGAAAGGACCTGATGGTGGAATTTGTTCTCAGGCGGCTTCATTTTAAAGCAGATATCAGTCTCTGTTTTCCTGCGTCTCTGCATTTCACATTAGCCGCTTCACATATGCGTAGACACCATATCAAAACTAACAAACATGCCAGTTTACACAGTCCTCTTATTGTCAGGAAAAACGAGTTTCACGATGCATAGTGGACAAACGTGAGACACAACGGGCATTATCAAATTCCTTATCTCAATAAGTGGAATATTGTCCCCTTCAGATTTTTTACATTTTTCTTTATGCTCGTGATTTGCTAGCTGAAAATAACACTGCCAAGTTAAGGCATGGGATGAAAATTTGGGGGATGGAGGGAAGCGGGGAGGCTGTCCAGCCAACCTGCATGAGATGGCAGCCACTTCAAAGATGTCAGGCCGCATCGGCGATCTGCTCCACGGTGTGTGAGGAGTGTATGAAAGGCAGTGATGGCCGCTGTGTGAGTCCCTGCCAACGCTACCTCGGGGAGAAATATTGGAAAAAATTGCTATTTTTTCACACAGCTATCTCAGGGGTGGGGGTTTGATGGGAAAAAAAAAACAACTACAAAAACAACAAACAAACAAAACAAACTAAGACAGAAGATGAAAACCTGAAGGACTCAGTCAAAAATAGACCGCATGGAGAGCTGAGAAGAGCTGCACTAATTATGCCACCAACTTGTCGGTCCTGGAGGTTGCACTGGGCCAGAGATACAGCCAAGGTACAGAGTTAAGGATTGCATTTGGCTTTAATGTACAGGGCCGCTTCACACAATTGCAACTAGCAATGTCCGCCAGCAGGAGGTAGGGGTGTAAAAACATTCAGAGAAAAAACTTGTGTCAGATATTGATTTGACCGTGTACATTAAGTAAAAGGTGAGCTGAGGTGAATCCATGCCAGCTATGAGAGCTACCCAAACTGTATCCTCTCACCAAAACTGTTACAGTGAAACAAGTCTGAACAGTACGCACATTGTGACACACCCCAAGATTCACTCCTCCTGGCACCTCGCCTGTCAACTAGTAATCTTGCTAAACAGGACATGCAATGGACTGTAGCCTGTAGATTAAAGAACACCAAATTGTGACTATTTGCTTCCACGGCAACACTATTTCACTGTTGCACCACTTGCACCAGCCAGCACACCTCCTCTGTGCCTTTTGGTAACTTAATGCCACTTGCACATTTTTTTTTATCTTTTCTTACACTGATCCTTTTTTTGAAGCTGATTTTTTAATGGCAAAACCACACTCCGATAATGTCTTTCTGCACTGGCTAAGTGCATTTAACAATGAGGTTTGGGCTGGTACAATTAGCCCTTTGTGTGGCACAGGGACTGATCCATGAAGAGATTTTCTTGTGGTTATGGTCCTAATACAGCAGTTTACCACAAAGACCGGGAAGCATTGAGTTACATTACAACACACACACAGTCACACACACACACATACATAAGCACAATGCATGACTCAGTAAAGTAGAGCATTGGTCTCATTTCAAGCATTTCACCCTCATCCAACTCAACTAAAATTATACCCTCAAATAATGTTTCATATCATGGCTTAATACACACCTATCTTACAAAATTGCCACCAATCTTCTCTTGCTTTTATTTTGTTACTGACAGGTTATTTGGTTGGCAGGTTGTCTCTGCAACAACCGCAGAGCAACCAACTCTAAAATTATGGGCCCTCACAATCAAAACAAGATTGAGGATCATAACATGGCTGCCAATTAGGAACTATTGTTTTGAGGGTTGCTTATGTTGGACGGATAATTGGATGGTAGGTATCAAATGAAACGTGATTTGACATTTGGAGGCACGTCTGTGCTGTTTTGCAGGTGTGGACAGGGTGTCATGCTGCAGCTGGGGCTTTTGACAGGTGTCCACGAAAGGTTATGTAACAACCATACTTAAAAAATGTAAAAAGCATAGTGATGGGAGTCAGTGCACAAACAAACAAAACCTTCCTGCTAGACTCAAGTTGCACCAGGAATGGTTGCAAAAGAAAGTAAGCACCTAAAATACCAAAATGTTGTGGTATCAAAATGATCACAGTGTTTCATCTTGCAATTATTTTTGTTTTTTGCATTTCTTGTACCGAAACATAAACATTTTAGTTATTAAGACTATATTAACTACATTCTAATTTTGTGACTCATCCTAGAAAATGCATGCACCTCAAAATTGGAAGATGATATCATATTGTCTTTATTTGGACTGCACAGTCTCCTTTGCTTTTAGAATAAGAGCACATGGAAAAAATATGGACTTATTTCAGATTCTTTTCCCCTATAGTCCTTTTGCTGTAACAAACACTGGTCCCCTTCTAAAAACATTCAACATGACAAATAGAACGCATGAAATTAGAAAAACACAGGCAATATGTTCAATCTATTGCTTGAATCTCTTGAGCTGATTTAAACTGCAAAGCTTTGACTTAGAAAAGATCCAGCGAAGCTGATGAATCCACAGGCGTGGAAAAACTAAATCTCATCTCGTGCGATGGCGCACTCGTCGCTTGCTGATCACAAAAATGTCAGATTTATCCCTTCCAAATGCTGCAGGATTTGACGAGATAATTCGCTTTTCGTCATCCGATTTTCAGATCAATAATAAATGCGGAGGTGCTCCAATTCACGCTCGCTCGCTCCCTCTCTCTGCACTTGTTCTGGTGGCACAAAGACGGTCTGTGTGTCACCTCACCTCCCCACCCCCCCTTGTAGTTGCTAAAGTGTCATCAGCTACGCAAATGAAGTGTCCATTGATGAAAAGAGCAGCAGGAAAGAGGCACGGCGAGGGCGCAAGGTGAAGGAACGGCGCAGCAACTGTGCGCAAATCAGGGGTCCTTACTGCGTAATAATTATCATGAGAAATATGTCCTGAATGTGTGTGTGTGTTTGTGTGTGTGTGTGTGTGTATGCCGGCCTTTCAGATGCGTAAATCTGTAGTTTGTGTTTTATTCTGTTTGATCTGGATCGCCTGTTCAAACTGTTACAGAAGGCAGCAGAGAACATCATTTTAATAACTTGAAATATACATTTATAAGCCACTGGTTCGCTGGATAAAGTGAATCTTAAATATGGTCTAAATCAACGCATGAACAGCGAAACAAATTGAATTATATTTTTTTGTTGTTTGTTTCTTTTTATCGAGCTGCATTAAAATTCAGTGCTGGGGCGCAGATGTTGTTTGTCAAGCAGCCCCTATTAGCATATCAGAGATTTCTTACAAATAGTAATAGTCTATGGATTTGAGTTATCGGTTTTTCTTTTTATAAGATCATATATATGCTGAAGAAACTGACGCACGAGCAGACACAGGTGCGTCGTAGGTGCTGTCATGTGGCCTCACACTCAATATCGGGCACATTTCTGCTCAGTCAAAATTAAATTCAAGAGTAAAAAAGGGAAAACTGCAGGGATTAACAAATTGAACAACCCCCCCTGTTTTGTTTATTTTCAGTACTATAGACTTTACCCTATAGACCATCAGAAAAGGAACTATTGAGTTACACAGCACGTACCATTATAGCGCGGGGAGATCTGCCAACTCTCTCAATGCCCCATTTTCCTTTAAAAAGTTCAGCTTCCAAAAAAAAAAGTAGAGAGGGAGAGAGAGCTAAAGGGAGGAAGACTTTGTCTCTTCGCTGTTGCCGGAAGCAAAAAAAAAAGAGACCTTTAAACAAGTCGGCCTTAGGCCCAGACGGGTGGGAAAAAAAAGAAAAGAGAGGGGAAAAAAAAGCTCTTTCAAAAAGTGGGTCCACTCTGCAAGAGAATGGAGGAAAAAGCGGACAGCAGCTCCGAACACCTTCCGTCTACCGCTGTTTTTCGTCAGATGCACCCATGTCTGAGCAGAAGTCAGAGAGACGTCAGCGTCAAATGTCCGGAGGCGCGTCCTTCAGCGGCTAAACTTGTCCCGGGAGGGTGCTCGCAAAGTCCCCGAAATGATATCAGTAGGGGGAGAAACAATAAATGGACGGCAGAGATAACCAAAAAAAAGTAAGTGTTGTTTTTGTTGTTTTTTTCTTGATTTTTTCATTCGCCCGTCCAGTAGCCGAGGAGCTTCTTGTGTCCAAAACGTGTCCAAAAAGCAGCAGTCTCCCACGCCGCGCGCCCGATCTGTTTTACCCCTCGTATCTCACTCTCTCCCTTTCTCTCTCTCTCTCTCTCTCTCTCTCTCTCTCTCTCTCTCTCTCTCTCTAGCTCTCTCTCTCTCTCTCTCTCCTATCTCCCGGTCCAAACACACAAGAACGCTCATTCGCACGCACGCACGGAGTAACACGGCTAACGGAGGGGACACCCCGCGGTTTCCCCTCGCCGCCGTGCCCTCCTCTTTTCCTCCAAAGCTGACGAGATGAAAGCTGCAAGCGTGCGCGTCGCGCTTTCTTCAAATCCGCGGGCAGCCGAATGCCTGCACAAGTCGCACGACGTCGCTCCGGGAATCTGTGCGTAAAAAAAATGGAAGCGCTCCCGCTTCCCTGCTTTTCCCCTGCCCGAAGACGCAAATCAGAAATCAGCCACTGAACATAGTCAAGCACAATAACATGTGCGAACACGATATGATAGATTTTGGGGGAAGCGAGGCAGTCCTTTACAGTGGTACTCGGCGTCAAAACCTGTGAAATTATTAGGGGAATTATTTACTAAAAAAAGCGAGCCGTGCGCAGCCGAGAGCGCAGCGCGGTCAGGGGGAGCAGCTGGGGCTTTGGGAGCATTAGGAGGACCAAGGGGCTAAATCGTGAACTTGCTGGGATTAGAGGGCTGCTCCGGCTCACGTCGGGCGGCACACAGAGGGTGCGGAGTGGCACCGCGGCCGGCCACGAGCCGAACTGCGCAGAGTTCGCTTTTGTAATGTCACACAACCCCCGAGCAAAGATCAAGCAAGTGAAAGGTCACCGTTTTGTTTTTGGGGAAACATGGTTTCACAGAAACTGCGCACTTTTGGAATCTGGACAAATAGATAAATGTGGATAATCTAATGGCTTTCTTTCTTTCTTTCTTTCTTACTTTCTTTCTGTCTTTAATTCTTGAATATCCATTTGCGTCATGATAGAATTACAGAACAAATATTGGCTCTAATATATTCTGGCAAGTTGTTAAAAATGATTGTTGCCTCACAGATTCAGTGAAACTGGATGACACAGATGAACGATAACATCAATCTGATATGTTAGAGAGAATAGACATCAGTTCTGAGAGGTTTATCACAAGTCTACAATGCTGACACCCACGCGTGATATACTCACACTTGGAGATGCAAAGGCCACCGCAGGAGTAGGGCAGGACCAACTGATAAGACAGAAAGTGATACATACGAGAGCGTATTTATTATTAGGTAATAAGGCAAAAGAGATCATTAAAACATGGCTGCTAATGTAAGAATGGGCATTTACGACTATTGTGCATGAGTGATGAACCAATGAACCCTTTTGGTGCCCCAAAAGGCCACTGCACAAAGACAGCTGCCTCTCCAAAACAAGTGCCTCATCCAAATTATTTCGTCCAACTGAAAACATTTTAATAAAGTGAGAGAATAAAAAAGGATTCAAACTATTTGTGTCGCTCGTGGCTCTAAACCAGAAATATTACAGTTAAAAGTCCGCTGATTTCTCGGCCCATGCATGAAGCATGACAAACGACTGCTTCATATTTTAACGACGATGAACTTATATATAAATATGTACAGATATATATTTATATATATACGTGTGTGAGGAAGTATTTATTTTTTGCTGTTGAATAAAAGTTTCACCACATGCTTTGATGCATTTTATTATTATTTTTTCTGCTCTGTCTCAACTCGTTCCGTTTTTCATCTCCCTTTTTGAGTCTGCTACATTCCTGCAACATGACGGTTGATCAATTATTAAAGAGTGACTTCCCCACACATTTGGCCACATTAATTAGTCATCTAACTGAATGTGTCTTTTTGTTTCAGCCCTAATTTTCATTATCCAGATTAACGTGAAAACACCGTCTGTGCTCAGAGGATATGTGCGTCTGCTTGTGTTTTTAAGGTTTAAGGTTTCTTATAAAGCCCACTTATTCGACAACGATATATCTGGGTTATGGGTTTCTCCTTTAATTTAAGTATTTAATCTGAAAGTTTTTTTTACCTCTAAAAATTATATATCAATCATTAGTATATCATATATAAAAAAAGGGAATGTTACACAATCATACTGTATATATATATATATATACATGTATGTATGCTTTTTATTTCATTGTGATAAAATGTACAATATATACATTTTTGTGTTTCAGGAAAATCACTTTAGTGATATTATCGAGATTAAACGAATATTTGGCCCTATAAAAATGCATTTTTTCAGAAAGGTATGTTTGGGAAAACGTGATTATAGAATTATAGCAAATCTGGGTGTTTCATGTGACACACTTTTAATAATTTCCTTGATTTTGGGGCCATTGAGTTGCCACTGGTGTTTTCTTGTGTTTTTTTTAATTCTAGTAATTTTGATATGATTCAATAAGAAAAACATTTCTGAATACAATGTTGGACTTTTTTTCTTGACAGAATTTACTTTGTCCATTTCTTCCAGATTTTGTCATGCTTGTTTGTACTCTTGAATCTATAGAGATATATTATGACTGAATAAACATTTTCTGCCTACTTGTCCAAATGAACAACTGATAGTATACAGTTAATACTATCACACAACAATACTTATTAAGCACTGAAAACAGCACAGAATATTCCTGACCAAAATAATTGTTTTTCCGACATTTAATTGATTTGTGATGAATATTTGATGCAACATTTGTGCATTTACTATCAAAGTCCAGCTGAGGGACCAATACCAGGTCCCATGATTACACTTTTGTTCACGTCTGCATTTTTTCGCTGTTGCTGTCGCCCACTGTCTGGTACAGAGATTAGCATAAAGTATTTGCAGGAAAAAGCTTGTGGGGTGTAGAAAATTTCATTATATAAAAAACAATAGCTTTTTAGGTTGATTAAAATTCAATCTAGTGTGATAGTTAATGCAAAACATAGTTTTAATTGTTGCTACTTGGGACTATTTATAATAGCAATGACTGATAGTTGTAGTGAGTGTGGACTTAGGTTGAAAGGTCCTAAGAAACTGTATAAATTAGAAGTTTTGCACAGATCTTTCTAAATTCGTTTTCTGTTTCTTTCATTATTTAGCGTTCATCAATGTCTACCTTTTTTCATTCTTTTGTCTTCCAGATGCTGACGATTCCAAAGTTCAAACATGCCCGTTGGCCTGTTGGGAAAATGATCAGTTGCTTGAAAACGCCTTCTCAAAAAAAAAAAAACCTCCAACCAGAGAGTCAGTACTGAAACACGCTTTCCTTCTTTATTATTATCATTTTTTTGTTTTAATGACAAATAGCATTCTGCCTGTGGGGCCAGCACGGCCAACTGTAGCTTAACCAGTCATGGGAGGCCTCAGCGTGTCCTGCACACTTTCTGTGAACTCCTACAGGCACAACAAATTGAAAAAAAAAAGAAAGGTGAAAAAAAAGCGAAAATAGAGGATTTGTTTTACATGAGCTCAGAAAACATTTGGCTGTTTGAGAAGACAGAAAGATATAAAACAATATTACTCATTACTAATTCAAAACAAATGAAAAATGTCCCACCGTCCCTGGATATATAATCATAATTTGAAGTCAACGTTTGTAGAGGATATAAAACTTTCTTTTTTTTAAAAGGTACCAAAACACACACATTTATCGTCAAACCTTTTTGTGTGGATTTTGTGTGTATGTGTTTTCTGTCAGGTTTTATTTTAATGAAATCTGACATACGCCAGGCCCCCTGGACATAAAGATATCTAATGATAAACTAAAGAAAGAAAACTAATTCAGATTTTCTAGATTTAAGAAAGGTAACTTCTATGAGTTTTTTTAATGTATTTTCATAAAGAAATATGCACATGGAATGATGAACACAAATGAAACATGTATTTGGCTATTAATGTGGCATAAATAATAATTCATACCCCCTCCTCCTGATGCTGACGCACCATATGTTTTTTAGCAGTTGACCTCGTTTCAACCATTCCCATATTTTCCTTACAGTGCAGCCAATCCAAATCGGTGGCATTAGCAGGGAAATGAACCTTTAAAAAATTAATATTAGACTAGGCTTTGTGGAAAATGTGAAAGAAAATGACAATACATTTTGAACCCGTTATTGATATTTAAAGAAAACAGAGACCCCCTCCACCCCCAGCAGAAATGTTCGCGATTTATTTATATTTTCGTTGAAAAAATGTAATAATTATTAATTCAAAAACACGATTCCGGTTTATCCAAAAGTCCCAGAACAAACTGCGGGGCGTTTGCTGGCGCGCAGAGATCCTCACCGGGCAAACAAAACTTGTAAGCGTCAATTAGACTGAAGTTTGGGGGTTAATGAAAGCCCTGAGCGGTGTGCCTCACCACGTCCCCCCCTAAAAGCAACATTTACGCACACCACAACTCTGCTTTTACGACCCTGAATTATGTTGGCAACAAGTTACCCCAAACCTTACTT